AAGACCCCTGCTGGCCCTGCCTCAGGCAATGTGGCTTCTCCTGGGCATTCTCCTGGAGTGGGAGGGGGCCCCATCAGCTGTCATCCTGAGTCCCTGGAGATGAGGCCTGGGAGATGAATCCCCTTAGGGTGTGACTGAGGGACACCCCCGGGGGCTCCCAGCTATTGAGGGGTACACTCTGAAAGGGATTCAGCCATCCTCATTCACAACAGCTAAGGAAGCTGCCACTTAGTGTGACAGGTCTTTAATGGAATTAATAAAGGGCTCCCTGGTGCTGTAAGAGGTTAAGTCTCAGCGCTGTGAAGCTGTCTGCAGCCACTGCAGCACGAGTTGGATCCCCAGCCAGGGAGTGACCCACAGGGCAGAGCAGACCTCTCCTGTCTCCCACTGCCCCCCCTCAGCAGTGTATTACAGTCAGCCCACCTGTTCCTCTCTCTTCTCTGTCTCTGGTGAATCCTCTTACCCCTCGCATCTCTGGCCTACACCCCAGCTCTTATATGCATAAATAAGTCAATCTTAAAAAATATATATAGAACGAGTGAGCAATGAGAAAGAAGAAAGGATTTTCTGAATAAAACTGAAAGAGATCCTTCTCATGGATCAAACAAGGTTGGTCTGAAGGGGCTGCCAAGGCCTGAAAGATGCTCACGAGTGTAAGCTACTGCCTGGTGGGAGGCATAAGATGGTGTGAAAGGGGCCAGGCCCGTCTGGAATAAAGGAGAGACCTTTGGCTAACAATTCCTGTTAACAGTTTCCCCTTCATTTTAGCCTTTGAAATTCTATCTGGCTCTTTTTCCTACCTGCCTGATGTTGTTCAGAGTTCTGGCTTCTTTTCATATGTGATCACTCTAGTTCTTAAGCACTTCACTAGTCCCGCTTTCTGTAACAGTTACCTACTGTCCCCACAGCCTTGCATGTCTTGCTCTGTTGTTCACTGTTGCTGTCAACTGTATCTCAGTGTTGTGATTTTGGGTTGTGGCTTCTTTTTGGAGAAATCTCACCTGCAGGAATTCTCTGAAGCTAGGTTGAGGACATATACCTAGAGAGATGATTTGCATTTTCCTGGAATTTGAAGGTGCCACCAACCCAGCACCATCTGAATTGAGAATAAAATCCATAGACTGAGAGTCTTCAGATAAGGCAGAAAGAGCGGGAATTGGGGCAGGAGGGCCGGCTAGGAAAAAGACAAGGTCCTAACTCTGTCCACCTCTATCCATCCACCTGCCCAAGGTAGGCAGACTTCCTTGCCTTCTGTCCTTGTAGCTCACTCTTCCTCTGAAGGCGTGTCCTGGTCCCCCAGCTTTCCCTGGAATCCAGACACACTCTTCTCTCCTCCTTCCCCCTCATGCTGATACAATTTAAAGCCGCCAGGGGGCGCTGTGGCAGGAAAGCGCTGTCCTTGCTCATCTCTGGATTCATTTTCCTTCTTCATCCTTTTTGTTGTCCAGGCGTGGTTTTCTCCCTAGCCTTTTTTTTTTTTTTTAAAGATTTATTAATTTATTTTTGCATATAGAACTGGGGTAAAGGCCAGAGGTGTGGGGCAGTGAGAGGGTTCACCAGGGACAGAGTGGGGAGCACAGACAGATGGATGAAGCACACTGCTGAGGGGAGCAGCCGGAGACTGGAGGGGTCTGCTGCGCCCTGTGGGTCACTCCTTGGCCAGGGATCGAACTCGTGCTGAGGCAGCTGCGGCCAGCTTCATAGTGCTGTGTAACCTGCTACACCACAGGGAGAGCCCCTTTCTCCCTAGCCTTTAAAGTCTTAACTATGTAGACTTCCGAATTCTCCTCACCTCCTCGTTCCTTAATCTTCAGATTCCAAACATGTATCCCAGAGCCGAAGCCTGGCTCTCTCTGCACCCATCCCGCCAGCATCAGCTGTGCTGAGTGCTGCCTGGCTATTGGGGTCCAGCCTCACTGGGAGTGAGAGGACTTGTTTTTCTCTCTCCTGCCCTGCGTTTACCGCCCCTGTCCAGCAGAGTCCTGTGGCTCCCATCAGGCTCCAGACCCACGACAGTGATATTTTAGGGTTTTTCCCATGGACACTGCAGCCTCTGCTGTGGAGCCAGTGGGAGTCTCGCCTCAGCACCCGAGGGTGAAAAAAGGGACAAAGGCCCGAGCAGAGTCACTTGTGCTAAGCCCGTGTCACCAACCGGGACGTAATACTCAACCTAACTGCAGTGTCTATGGAAATTCCCAGTCAGGCCTGAGGCAGTCTGTCTGCAGAGGCCTGTCCAAGCGGAAGAGGACAGGTCACCCTCTGTTTTTGCTGGTCAACCTCCTCGTCCCGCCCCTTCTGCCTGTACGTCCTCATTTCATACCACTCTTTGCTCAACATTTTCTCTATTGAAACGTTTTCTTGTGTAGCCCATAACTACTTGGGCTTTGCTCTGCCCCGAGTTCTCAGAGGAGGCGGCGGTCACTGGCTGCCCACTGGCCGCGTGGTCCCCAGCATCTCTGTGGACCGGAGCCTGCGGGTGCCGCCTCGGTCTGGGCCTGTCTGTTCTGAGCACCCCCTTTCCTTGTCACCCTCAGACTCGTTCCAGTCCTGTTCCCTGGGGGATGTCACACCAACTCCCCCCTCTCCCCAGATCAGGGGGAACCTTGGGGGCCTCTTCCCAGCCGAAAGCGGAAAGCCCGACCCTCTTGTTTTTTGCTAGAAGGGATCTCGTATCATTGAAAGAAGCCAGTAAGATCTTTCCATTTCACTCAGTTGAATGTTGTTTTTTAACTCAAATGCGGGTCCTTTCGGGGACCTCTGGGGTCCCTAACACCGTGCCTGCCAACCGGCCTCCAGGGGGAGCAAGAGAGGGCGCCGGCGGCTGGCACCAGCGGCTGGGGTGCCAAGGTGTGACCTACTGGGAGCTGCCCGCTTGGCCTGCGGCCTCGCTGCTGTGCAGCTTCTGCGGGAATACCGAGGCCAGGAAGGGAGGTGTTACACCAGCTGCCTCCGTAAGTGTGAAGCGGAGGTTTCTGGGGGAGCCCAGGAACCTGGCCGCCATGGATACATCCTGTGTTTCCAAGAAAACGCCGGCACCAGCGGTTGGACTTACCTGCCTTGAAAGCCAGCCGGAAGGGGAAGCTGATAACGTTTGCTAGGCAACTTCTTTGCCTCAGGCTGTATCCTGGTAAGCACATGCTGTACATTCTCTCACTTCATCCTGGCAGTAAGCCTCGGAGGTAGCTACTCTGCTTATTTCCATTTTTCAGTAACGGGCCTAGAGAGGTGAGGCCATTGCCCAAGGTCACGCTGTGAATGTGGAGGGGGCTGGGACTTCATCCCTGAAGATCTGGATCTGAAGCTCAGATTCCTCACTACCGCTCCCCCTTTTTTTTAGATCTATGAATACAGGAACTGGGGTACAGACCAGCAGTGCGGGAGGTGAGAGGCTTCACCAGAGACAGAGTGGGGAACAGAACAGGCAGATCGCTGAAGTACACTGCTGAAGGGAGCAGCGGGCAGTCAGGAGAGGTCTGCTGCGCCCTGTGGGTTAGCTCCTGGGCGGGGTGGGTGGGGGGTGGGGGGTGGGGGGGTGAACTGGTGCTGAGGCTGAGTGGCAGGCTAGCTTGGTGGTGCTGTGCTTTAACCCCTTGCGCCACCAGGGAGGGCCCCTTCTGAGGTTTGATTCAATAGTGCCATCCACGCAGCGCTGGGAGGGTTAGGGACAGCTTGTAATTTCTTCAGGCCTGTGCCCCTGTGCCTAACACAAAACCTGGTGCAAGGTGGGCTCACATAAAAATGCACCGAGCGAATAAATAATACTGCATCCTGAGCTGAATGTGACTCACTAGTGGCTGATCACAGCTGTACCCTCTTTCCCCCGTATAAAAAATGATGTATAATTTTCATACAGTAAAAATCCCCCTTTTGTGGATGGTTCTAGTTTTGACATCGTCAGTTGTGTAACCATCACTATATAGAATGACTTCATCCTGCTCCCAAATTTGCTGATGCTCCTGGTAGTAAGTCCCAAGCAGATAAACACGCCCAGCCCTGCCGCCCTGCTCCCAGTGACCAACCTGCTTTCTGTCCTATAGTTTTGCTTTTATAATGGGCCCTTCCTGGTGGCCCAGGGGGTTAAAGGGCAGCTCTATGCAGCTATCCACAGCCACTGCAGCACAAGTTCGATTCTTCCCACTGAGCTGGGAGACCCCCAACAGCTTCAGTGTCCATAAAACCTGGAGTCTAGACCACACTGTGATAGCTTAGGGTCTGTTTATCGAACACCTACTCTGTGTTAGGCCCTGGGATACAGACTCGCCAGCCAGAGAAAGCAGTGAACAAATACTTGCATAGTTACTGGACTAAGGACCTGGGGAGGGGGCAGCTGCGGCCAAAGAACGGGTCAGGTGTCACGGGACCCCAGGCTGGAGCTGTGGTGTGCACAGATCCAAGGACCCAGAGGACCGGCTGCTAGTAGTGGGCAGGAAGGTCCTGGCAGGGTGGTGGGCTGCCCTTTGGTGGGGTGCCCTGACAGGAGGGTTGTTCATTCTTGGTTCGTGCCTTTATTCGGGAAATTTCCACGTTGTGCCAAGCGCCGTACAAGGACAAACGCGGCCCCTGTCGCCTCACGGCACTGGGACAGACAGCGGGGATGGGGCCGACTAACAAATCGGGCTTCAGCCCGAGCCCTGGGCACGACGGGCTGTGGTGCGCACGGGGAGGCCCAGAGACGGCCGCGGGGACGGGGCGCGTCGCGTGTTTGTGCAGCACCCCCACGCCCCACGCCCGCTGCGCGCACACTCGCGGCGGAGCTTCGCAGAGGTCGCCGCGCGGGGACGAG